GCCCTCACTCCCTGGCATTAAAGGCTCGCTTTCTGGGATTAAAGGCGTGAGTCACCATGCCTGGCTGTTTCCAATGTGGCCTTGAACTCACAGAGATCCGGAGGGATTTCTGCCTCTGGAATGCAAAGATTAAAGGCGTGAGTGCCATCATTTTCTAGCCTAAGTATCTAGTGGCTTTTCTGTTCTCTGACCCCAGATAAGTTTATTAGGGTGTACAATATTTTGGGGAACATAATACCACCACAACCAGGGAACCACAACTCTGTTCTGGTGCTCCTGGCCTGCTGCAAGGTTATTTTTGGAATTGCTGCTTTGGGGTACCTGCCCTACCTGGCTGGTTTTTATCTCCGGTTGTAGACAGTTCCACTCCCGTTCAGTGCTGGTGAACCGGCGCTTTCTGCCACCCAACGTCCTTTAGAGCCACAGGTGTGTGAAGGCGTCAGAGGCCAATCGGGAGAGATATCTCCTTTCAGTAAACAGAATGAAATCTCTGGCCTGGCAGGGGCCTGGCATTCTAGTTGGGCGAGTCAGTCACCTGGCTAAGGGACTCTCCCCCAGAAAGCAGGACCCCCTTTGGCCATGCTAAACCGATAGGAGGGATCATTATCGCTTAATGAGATACTGTACTTTCCTTACCAAGAACTCCCAGCCTCAGCACAGTCCTCCAGAGCCACCACGGGGCTCTCTTGGGGCTGCTTGCCTCTCAGAAAACTGTAACTTTCTCTTCAGAAGCTGCCAGAGCCTAGATGCGCCTTCTCGGGCGCTTTTGTTGTTTGTTTGTTTGTTTGCTTTTTCTCTAAAGCTTCTTCCCCACCACATGCCAAGTGGCTGACCTCCAAGCCAGCTTTAGAAAGGCATGGCTCTTTCTCTTTTTTATTTTTTTCCCTCCATCTTCTCACCTTCCAACCTCCAACCCCCCTAAACCCCAGGGCGGGAGGGGGGGAGGGCCGTGGGCAGCTGCTGAGATTTATAGCTGCCTCCTTGGGGTTTTTCTAAAGTATCCTCAAGCGACCTTTTGCATTCATTCTTAAATTCTTTTATTATGAAGACTGAGAGTCCTGGAGGGGACCCAGATTTCTCCAGTAACGTGTGGTGAGTCTCGTTTGAGACTCCCTCACATTTTCAGTAACAGTACTGGGAAGGGAGCATCAACTGTGTGCCGGGAGGATGTGAGGTAATCTCTGACGAGGCGTGGTGGCTGGGATTATCTGATGGGAGCTGCACGTGATCCACGGCTTTCCAACAGCGCCAGGATTCAACGGTGGCTTTTATTCCTCTTGTTAGCACAACAGCACGCATTCGTGGCCTGGGGAGGGGGTCCTCTTTTTACCCTTTGCATTAGGTCCCTGAGAACTCATGGTTGTTGGTGACCAAATATCCAAAGACCAACAGTTCCATGCCTCAGGGCTTCAGGGTTAGAATGAGGTTAGAACTAACATTGTGACCTGTGCTTCCCAAGAAACATTTGTGCCCTGTGGTTGCGAGAGTGAGGATGCAGTCTGTGTTACCATTTCCCACTTGGAAGACAAAAACGGGCTGCTGAATTCTTCCTTGCTGATGGGAGCGGAACCTCTGAGTAATGTGTGCCTATGGAGGGTCGCAGCAGGGGTGGGGTCAGTTCTTCTCATGGGCTCTGTGTCATCAACCTGCTGTGGCTTGTAGTAGAGGGACCGGAGACATGGCTCGGTGGTTAAGAGTGCTTACCGCTCTTGCAGAGGACCTAGGTTCACATTTCAGCACCCACATTGGGTGGTTCACAACTGTCTGTAACTCCAGTCCCAGAGGTCCCAATGCACACAGGCCCTCACAGGAATCTGCACATAAACTATGCAGGCACACACATATGCATTAATTTAAAAATAAATACCAATAAATAAAGAAACCTGTAAATCAGGCTGAAGTGCCTGCTGACTTAGCTAAGAATATTCATGTATGTATGTATGTATGTATGTATGTATGTATGTATGTATGTACGTATTTATAGAAGGAACAGGTACAAGGTTCAGAGTTGCTAGTGACTATGTATGCTTCATTTCTTGTCCAGTTAACAAAAGTAAAACATAACTAATGAGTTTACTACTTGATTAAAATAAAACAAATTTGTTTTATAACCTCCAGATTAAGCTGAGTAGTGGTATCCCACGACTTTAATCCCAGCACTAGGGAGGCAGAGGCAGGCAGGGTCTCTGAGTTCAAGGTCAGCCTGGTCTACAAAGCAAGTTCTAAGACAGGGGATGCAGAGAAATCCTGTCTCAAAAACAAACAAACTTCAGATTAAAGAACAATGACATCTATGTTACTTTAATGCCTTAGACCCAAGATACCTAGTATTTAAAGATTAATTTATATTATTTTAATAATTTTTGTTAATTTTTTCATACCATATATTCTGATTTTTTTTTAAATCGTACTCTATCTCCTCCCCCAACTCTTCCCAGATCTCCTTTTTTAAAGTACATGTGTCTGTTGTGTGCGTGTGCCTCTGGAGGCCAGAGGTGAGAACTGGGTCACCTGGAAAAGGAGGTACAGGCAGTTGAGAGCCACTGTGTGGGTGCTGGGAACCAAACCCAGGTCCTCTGGAAGAGCAGCAAGTGCTCTTAACACTGAGTCATCTCTCCAGCTCTGACACCGAACATCTAACCTGTCAATTGTCTGTTGACATCTTTGTGTTTGGAGCCGAAGGAGCTAACCTCATGGAAAACTGTCTTCTAGAGAAGTCTTCCTCATGAAGCACGCTTTCTACTGACAGAATGAATCATGAGAACCCACATGTATTTTATAGAAAATAGGAAATATTTAATGTATATAAATTTATCTGCCTTGGCAATTATTTACAACTGATGATTGATACCAACAATTGAGGTAAGAATATACATGAGGTATAAATATAATATTTAAATGCAAATATTTTATTTCCATCGGCAAGATAACAATGAATAAAATACTGTGGCATTGTATTTTGACAAACAAAGCTCGCTGCATCATTTTTCTCCACTCCCTTTTCCTTTATTTTAAAGACGCGTCTTGTGGTTAGCAGAGGTGATGTGATTAGTATGTGCATAAAATTGAAAAGTCAGGTTAGCTGGAAGAGAAAGGGGGTGAGAAACACAATCACATCATTTTATTCAGTTTTCAGCATTCCCTGGGTCCTTATTTCTCAAAGTGTGTCCTTGAGGCCAGCAACCTGCATCCCTTGGGCTCATTAGAAATACAGAATGTCAGGTCCACCCAGACTGCCTGGATCAGAGCATTTTAACAAGGTCTTCAGGTGATTCCCAGTGCGTGCTAAGCAAAGATGCTCCTTGGGAAACAATGCCATTCATCCCGGGTGCCCATCGCTGGAGCAGGAACAGTGTGGAGCCAACTAAGCTCCACTGATGATCTTACCAGTACGTAAAAGGTCATCCAGCATGGTGTGCATGACGTAATGGCAGCGATGAAACTGTCCAGTCCACAGAGCACTACCCAGTGACCTGCGGTCTGACTGACACTCTCCCAGGTAGACATGAGAATGAAAAATTCCTACCCTGATTTTCCTTGTGCCACACCAGACATACAGAAAACATCTTTAGTCCTCCCAATAAAATGATTGCACACCACAGATAAAACACTGAATTAGTGTGTATAATACAACAACCACCCTGAAAAGACACATTTGTTTTTGCTTTTCTTCCAACAACAGTTGCTGAATTGGGTTATCAGTCTCTGTCCAGACAACCTAAGAAAATCTCCCCTGGAAGCCAGACATAATAAGTTATCTCTCTACAGATGTTGCATTACAATAAAAAAAGCAAATCCATTCTCACTTTTGCTCAGTCTGTACAATAATAAATAAGGTTGGGGGTCAAACACATGGGTGCTGGAGCTGGCTAATGAAGAAACATAGGATTGATACATCTGCCTGTAATTCTGACAGATAACGATACAGTTTTGGTCTTTTGTTAGTTTAAAACCCTGTCTTTTAAATTGCAAGATTTTTAATGGATTAGATTTTAAGAGCGTCATCTATAGGATAACTCTAAATTCCCTGAAGCTGTGATGACTCTGGACACTTGACGGACCATCATCTCACTTTGTCTAGTGTCCAGAGTCAAGGTCAGTGCAAGAACATGTTGAATCACTGTGGCTGTATCGGCCACTGGTCACATAGATCACTAAACAGCATTATGAGAACTCTCTGAGTCTTGAGAGGATGTGGGGGCTCCCTTTAGCTTTGTGGACGGGCTCCACTGTTCACCCCGATGTAGGGGTGGGGGGTACCAGTTCTGTTTCAGTCCCTGGTGCCAACTCCAGCAGTCACCTGACATCTCACTCAAATTTCACAGAGTGGGCCCGAAGGCAACGCACAATCTAGCCTTGGATTTGGCAGTAAACTCTTTATCTGTTGCTTTGTGTTAGAGAGAAGCAAGTATTATTTCATTCAGTTTATCTCAACACCCCCCACTCCAGTTTTTAAACATCAGAAATAAGAGGCCAACGTGTGGAAGAAGCTTTTAACGCTATTTTTCTTTGGCTAGCTGGTCTTTGGGTTAGCGTGGGCAGGCTGACGGACTACACGTGTCACGCCTTGGTGTTTGACAGCAGACTCCGCTCAGCTGGCGGGACAGGAGGGACACGGGGTCTATAGCAACCTGGGAAGTGCCATGTGAGAAGACTCACAGAGTCAGACAATTATATATACAACCATATTTTACATATATACAGCAAAGGGAGATATACACACACATGTACAAATGCTACAGTACATTTATTTACAGCTAAAACACGCTTCTTAGAAGCCTTTAAATAGCAAATTAGGCCGGGTGGTGGTGGCGCACGCCTTTAATCCCAGCACTCGGGAGGCAGAGCCAGGCGGATCTCTGTGAGTTCGAGGCCAGCCTGGGCTACCAAGTGAGTCCCAGGAAAGGCGCAAAGCTACACAGAGAAACCCTGTCTCGAAAAACCAAAAAAAAAAAAAAAAAAAAAAAAAAAAAAAAAAAAATAGCAAATTAGGCAATGCGTAAGGAATAGCCCATTTAATATTAAGCAACATAGATAAATGTCCAAGACGTTGTATTAGTAGGGATTAGCCATCTCCCGGCAGGTTAGGAACACACTCCGTGGTCTCCGGACAGTGTTTCCTTCTCCTTGTCATTTGTACAGGCCTCACACCTCGGGCTGGTTTCCCTTCCGGTTCCCTGAGTTTGAGTCACACTGGGGCCAGCTCAGATTTTTGTTTCTGGACCCTCAGCAATGAGAGGCTGGAAAGAGTTTCTGATTCTGGCAACTTCCGCAGCACAGAGGTGTCCGAAGCCTTTGCTGTACCATTCCGGGGAGTGACCCCTGTGGGGAGAGAGCAGAAGGAGGTGGGACTCCTGTCAGGGGATAGGGCTGCCCTCTGGGTCATCAGTATCCTGGCAACAGCTTGTGGCTGTGGCCTCATGGGTCTGAGGACCTCATTGTCCCCCCGCATTTTGTCACCAAGCATTCTGTCTTTACAGTTCATCAGGTTCTTCAAGATGACACTAAGTTCTCAAAGTGAACAGGAAGACTCACACTGAATCTAGAATTCACCAAAAACCTACAACAAGCCGGGCGGTGGTGGCACACGCCTTTAATCCTAGCACTCAGGAGGCAGAGGCAGGCAGATCTGAGTTCAAGGCCAGCCTGGTCTACAGAGCGAGTTCCAGGACAGCCAGGACTATACAGAGGAACCCTGCCTCAAAAACCAAAATCAACAACAAAACCGCACTGAATTATATCTACCTAAGTACAGAATTCAGTGTTAGCATCTTGAATGCCTTAAAGTGTTCAATTCAATTTGAACTAGGGACATGGAGGAAACAGGCATACAAGAAGCACAACGGGCCTGAAGAGAAGGCTCAGCCAATAAAGAGTTTGCTGCAGGAACTTGAGGATCCCAAGCAGCAGTCCTCAGCACCTGTGAAAAAAGCGGGGTGTGGCAGAAACAGGAAGTTTTCTTGAGGCTGGATGGCCAGCCAGTCTAGCCAATCAGTGAGAGCCAGGTTCAGTGAGAAACTATGCCTCCCCTCCACGCCAGGCACCCAAAGGGAGCTACCAAGGAAGACACTTAGAAGTGACCTCTGCTTGGCCATCTACTTCCACATGGGCACATGTGCATATGAGCATGGACACAGGCATATGCTACAGACACAAGAATCAAAATAAATAAACAAGAAACGTAAAAGAATAGAATTCCTATTGACTGAGCCTGATGTACCTGCATGTTCTGTATGTGTCCTCAAAATAGAAAATAAGGATGTCACCAGGTGATCTAATGACCCTGCTACTGGGTACACATCCAGGGAAAATGCAGTCAGCACCTCCACATTCGTGCCCCCTGCAGAGTCATTCATAAAAGCCGGGATGTGGAATTAACCTAAGTGTGCAGCGCTCAGTGGGCAGATAAAGCAAATGTGGCATATACATACACATATACATACATACATACATACATGAACACTTCTGCCTGTCTGTCTACCTATCATCTGTCTGTCTGTCCATCTGTCCATCTGTCTGTCTATATCTACCTGATAATTCTTAGTCTTAAAAAGGGAGATGCCCTCTTTTTGCCACAATGACGAAGCTAGAGGATGTTCCTGTGTTCAGCATGATTAGCTAAGCATACAAGGCTAAGAGCCGCATAGTCTCGCTTCTGTGTGGAGTCTAAAAACGGGGAAGTCGCTGAATCAGAGGGTAGGATGGCGCTGACCGGAGACTCTAGACTTGGGGTTGGGGAGATAAATGTTGATCACATGATGCTGCATTTCAGTTTGGCTGCAGGCTCCAAGCAATCATGATGAGTACAGTTACTTTTCTCATCATGAATTTGAAGGTTTGTGTGCCCGTGTGCTGTCATCAGCACATGGTAAGGGATGTCTCCACTTCTTTGACCGCTGACTAAGTTCGTCTGCTGGGACTTGCGTGCTCCTCTGGTCCTTCTCAAATGTATTACAGGTGGCTTTAACGAGCAGTTACCTCACTGTACCAGAGAAGAGCCAGAAGTGTTTTGGGAGCCTCTATTGATTTTCATTCTAACACTCCGTTCCCTGACTCTACCGACCATCCTTCCACCCCCGTCCACAAGGTTGACTTGCTGGCCTCCATGAGTGACCGTGTGCTATTTGGGTGACTGTAGGGGAAGCATGTTCTTGATCATTGCTGGATATTTTCATACCTTGACCTGATGATTCTGCCATGTGGACCTATGTCAAAACATCCTTGAGTATGCCACAAACACCACACCATTACAGGTTTGTGGAAAGAAATGAATAAATTAGGGGAAAAAAAAGAAAACGAAGAGCAAATTCTAAAGGCTAAATGTCAGCATTTTAGGAAATGGGGAGGTGAGAGACCATGGTGTGTGCTGGTTCACAGCGGTGAGGACACAGACGAGCGGGAGAAGAAACCGGAGCGACAAGCAGGGTTCACGTGCACACACTACACCAGCTGAGGCTCACGGGAACTTGGTCTGCCAACACCCAGTGTGGCCACTTACTTCAGGTCTATCCTGCAGATGTGGGTCAGCCTGGACTTGCCAGAACCGCATGGCTCTATCAGGTACTGCGAGTCCATCACCACCGCCCGCACGCCGCCCATCAGCTGGGCTTCTTCATGCTCCACAGACAGGGACACCAGGGTGCACATTCCTTTGGGCAAGTCAGTCTTCCAGGTCCTGGAGTCAAACAGGCCGTGCTTCAGAGGGATGACACGAGAGACAGGAGGCCCCAAGCACACAGCGGAACTCACACACAAGTCCGCCTGCCCCCAACCTGGGCTCCAGCTCCAATGCTAGGCACTTGGATTAAGCTAATGGTCTCCATGAGCTTGTGTAAAGTTTACAAAATGAGGTTCAAAGGACAGATACCAGCCTCCCGCTCAGAGGGTGGAAGCTCCCCCACCTGGGTTTGGAATTGAGGCCCCATCTTCGTCTCCCAAAGCCCCCGCCGATCATCAAAAGGCCACCATTAGAATCAGCATGTGCTCACTCAATTGTTCTGTCTGTCTGTTGAGCACATCCATGTGCCGGGCCTGAGAGGCCGTGAAGGGCACGAAGATGCACACACTCTAGAAGGAGCCCTGAAGCCGGTGTGGGAAGTGCAGTGTGTGTCTATGCAGAGCTGGGATCAGGGGACGGGGCAGGGGAGGAATACAGGGAAGGCTTCCTGGAGGAAGTGATGAAAGTTTTAGCAAACACAGGATCTGCTGATGCCTACTTGGAAAGAAATTGAGCCTGTGTTGTCCTGATAGCTTTGTTCAGATAGCTGAGTAGCTCTTGAGTGGGAGAAGAAATGAACAGTTAATTCGTGTCCAGACGGAGACATAGGAAGGTCACTACAGCTGAGTAGCGGAGAGATCATTCTAACTGGTACATGGAGGGCATGGGTCCCCGTGGATGCAATCAGATGCTGTCCTCAGATTAATCCACTCTCGGGTTATCTAGTTAACGAGCTACTGGAGGAGAGGCTTTTCCGTGGAAGCAGCTTTCTGTGGTAGGACTGCTCTGCCCTGCAATGTCCTTTGCTGCGCTATGACCTGGAGCTCTCAGCCGGCTCAGCCTCCAGACTCAAGAGGGGAGTACATATCTACTCTCCATCGGAATCACTGCTTCAGATGGTTCCATTATAAACAACAGAAACGAAGCTAAGACACTTGATGAGAATTTGGGTATAAGGAAGTCTGGCGTGTCAGAAAGACTACGTCTTAAACCCTGCCTGCAAGTCCCTCCTCCCTCCTCCCTCTCCACCTTGAATCACACAGGGAGTTTCTGCTGGCCTGAACCAGGTCTGGCGCATGGCGCGCTAATCCTCTGAGCTGCCACCTACTTCTCCTTTAAGCCTTGGGCTACATTGAGATTCCACCTTTCCCATCTCCTCACATTATTTAGTCCCTCTAAGACAAGTCAGTTTGAATCTTTTGTTATTTACTGACTGTCCCTGGAGAATATAAGAGGGGACAGCTTAGTGGATGAAGGAGCATATGCACGGGAACTGAGTTCAGTCCCCAGCACAGCATAACAGCCAGGCATGATGGTGCACACTCGGAATCCCATCACTGCGGAGGTGGAGGCAAGATGTTCCCTGGAGCTTCCCGGCCAGTCCACTCAGCCTACTACCCCAGGTCCCAAAGACAGACTCTGCCTCAAAAATAATGAAGTAGATGGCTCCTGAGGAACAGCATGCAAGACTGACCTCTGGCCTAGGCACACGTGTGCAGGCATGTGCATACACACACACACACACACACACACACAATCTCACACACTCACTCATACATGTGCACACACACTCTCATGCATACTCTCTCACACACACTTTCTCTCACACATTCAAACATACATACTCTCTTATATACACACACTCTCACACATATACACACACTTTCACACATACTTTCTCTCACACACACATACACACACACACCCTCACATACTCTCACACATACGCACACACTTTCACACACACACAGTCTTTCACACATTTTCACACATTCTCTCTCACACACACACACACACACACACACACACACACACACACACACACAAATCTGAACTCTGAGTGGAGACCACGAGGAGCCTGCTGCTGCCCTCCACGGCCCTCCTCGGAGCCAGAAGCTGTGACTGGCATGAGGTATGACGGAATAGTCTGCAGTAGGCAGCAGGCTGGAGGGATCACTGTGGAGACGGAGTGAGGGAAGTTCAGTGCAGGGACTGCCCATCTCCACAGCTTCAGTCCTGGACGACGCTGCTTTCTGCTTGTGAGTGGGAGGGTTACATTTTCATGCCACACGATGAGTGATGTTCTAATAACCGGCCAGAGGCCACCCCAGCTGCTGGGATACATATTTATATTTATATTTAGGAGAAACGGACCTTAAAAGTTAAGGTCCCAAGGATCCAAACCAAATGCACAAAGGGCACATGAACAGTCAGCTTTGGTTTGCCCTCCAAGCTCACCTCAGAAGGCAACTATTTCAAATACACATTTGGGGATTTCGCTAGGGAATCCTCTTACACGGCTGATCCCCGAAGAAGAGATTGTTTAATCGTGTTTTTAATAAAAAGGATATATTGCTCTAATTACATTTTGTTCATGGTCTTAACTGTTCCCCAACCCCTGCTCTTGCTCTGAAATAGTGCGTTTCTGCTGTGCAAACTTCCTGTGATTGGCTGAGCATCCTCCTCCAAGGCCAGAGGGCAGGGGTTTGGGACTAGCCTCTAAGCCCACCAGAAACCATATTTCAATGGCAGACACAGGGCTCAGGAGGCTTTGCCAGGACTGAATTCTAATGGAATGCCTGGTGTCTCTGCACACTGGGACTTTCAGGGCTGAGCGGGAATTTCCACGCATCACCATTAGTTGCGAACACGTGAGGTCACACACACTCCCATCTTCAAGTTCTCCAAGATGAAGATCTGTTTTCTTCCCCAGGGAGAAAGACAAAACCAGGAGAAAAGCCAATTGGCTTTGATTTGCATAATTTGGCAGGACAAATCCGACAAACAGCAGCTATTCTGGGCCCCTGTTCTGAGGATGTGAGTGATATTCGTGGCCTGATAAACTGTGAGCACCATGGGGCAGATGGACCATCGGAGAGCTTGGGCGGAGCTGTAAATAGGTGAAGATGCCGGAAAACAGGGCAAAGGCAGAGGGGAGGAGCTTAGAGCCCCAGGGCAGGCTGGGAGGACTCGGAGAAGTGTTTTCCGTTGGCAGCTCTCGTCTTGCCTTTGGTTCAGGACCTCATTTCATACACCACGGAGTCCAGCTTACCTGAGAACCACGAAGTCTCTGGAGGGATGTGGGGCCATGCTGTTCAGCACGTACTGGTAGACTTCTGTTTGCCTGTCCAAAGTCTCCACAACTTTCCACTGCACGAAGTCCTCATCCCATAGGTGGCGTTCTCTCAGCACGCGGTTCAACACCACGGAGGGTGGGGCCTCTACCTCCACCGACGCCTTCCACAGCTTCAGCGGGTTCCCGTCCCCCACCTTGGCAAAGACACGGGCAGGAGCTGAGGAGATTACTAAGGGGCCACCCAGCCCGCCCCTGCTGTGCCGGGCATTCCAAACCACAGCTGGTTATATAAAGTGAGCCGGTCACACTGCACCCAGAGTTAAAATGCAAATACTTCAGTCCTCAAGCTGACGAGGAGAAGAATGATAATCAAAACAGCTACAGCCACAAACACACTCGAGGGGCGTGAGCCAGACATGTTCTAGTCCACTTGACTTTTATGTAGTTCTTCTCAGACAGGCACTCTTAAAGTGTTCCTCTTTGCAAATGAAAAAATGCTGGACATTGATTTTCCCTGGCATCACACAGAAAAGGGCACAGACCGACTAGGATCCAGCATCCCTGCCGTATAGCCTAGGCTCTGATGAGAGTGCTGTGGGTGGCCTTTGAACAGAGCTTCTGAATGGCACCTGGGCCTTACCTGTCCCAGCAGGTGCTAAGTCCCATGGGTAAGCCCACATTCTGCAGCAGAAGCGAATCTTACCTTTTTGAAAGCAAGGTCTGTGTTGTCGAGGCTGGAACATGTGACCCATCCTTTGAATTTCTCCCTAGCTTCTTTCTGGAGGCCTTGGACAAGATGCTCCAGGTATGTGTGGAAAGTTGCACCGCTCTCTGCCAGCTGTGTTCCCAAGTCTTCCAGGCTGGGGGCATGGATTTCAGCCTCCAAGTAGGAGCTCCGAGACTGGACCACCATCTCATGCGGAACCTGATCCAGTGAATGCATGAAAGAGCAAAGCCCTGAGCTAGAGAAATTCTGAGGCTGACAGAGACAAAGTCAACTCTCTACAGTCAAGGGTGAGCATGGGCTGTGGGACATCCAAGATCAAGTCTAAGGATAGGAGGGACCTTCCTAAAGTTGGGAGACATAAATAGGGTTTGTGAGCTTATGTTTATTATTCAAAAACACTGGGAAGCCTTCCTGATCACGTGTTCCACTTCTTTTTATTCCATTTGGCAGAGTGGGCTCAGACAGCGTCACTCATTCACACACATTGACACATGGAGGGAAACAGCCATGACTCAGACATGTCTTCACTATTTGCAGTACAGTTCTCCCACTGACAAATGCCAATGTTGCCACAGAGGGTGCCAGGTGTCCCATCCACTTGCCTCTGTAATGCATGTATGGCTGTAGTCCTAGGCTGTCAATGATTCTAGTGACAAGGATTACTCCATCATACTCAGGCACACGTGCATACACACACAGAGAGAAAGAGAGACAGAGAGATAGAGGAAGACTCTAATCAAGTCTAATCAAGGCAAAAATAAAATATTTAATTTTCTGAACCTTGATCCTTGAACCTGGCAAAGGAAGGCAATTGAACTGTCTGCATGAAAAACTGTCATCATGGTGAGCCCCAAGTGCCAGTGACTGCCAGAGCCTGGACTGAATAGCTAGCTCTTCATAACTCCTGGGGCAGAGACCAGAGCTGCAGTGCACACTGCTGTCATCAGAAAATGGAGCGCAAAGAGATAAGAATCATAAACGGGCGGCCGTTCATTCCCAGCCTGCTCCTAGTTCCAAGCCCTCACCTCAAAGAGTCGGTTGCATTCAGTGATCATGTGGGCGAGCCCCTGGGCTGCTGCTAGATTTTCATTGAGGTCCTTCTGATCCGGCTTCCCAGTGGCATATTTCTTTTGGATGACTCTGTAATTGAATATGAATGTGCTAAGCAGATCCCCAGCCGAGGTATGTTGGGATACCCAGGTAGTCTCATCTGTTTGCTGTTTATCCCCAGATGAGGCCCAGACCCCAGGCTTTCTCCTTTCCAAATTAAAACCAATGACCACACATCTCTAGATGCTCCAGGGCAGGCTGGCAGGATGACAACGCACAACCAAAAGCCATGGAAAAATACAAAGACAGGAAGAGCTGTAGGTGGAAAAACTATTGGTTTTCTCCACTTGAAACTGCTCAACTGCAGGTTCCTGTACGTTGTCTTTTAAATATAGCCTTTTAAAACCAAGGGTTGTAAAATTCCTTTTTATGTATGTTCCTTCCCCTTCCCAATTAAATAGAATAAAATCAAACTTCTCTGGCTTTCTGGATCTCAACTGACATCCTTCAGGACTACCTCAGTGGTGCCATGAGCCCCAGCCCAGGGATAAGGGTGCCTCCTAGTCTTCTGTCTGAACTCTACCACGAGAACACTTTAGTTTTAGCTTCCTGAAGAGAATGGACGTTGGTGGGGAGACCCGGTTTGGGAACGAGGGCCAGCGCTGAGGAAAACTCACCTCGGCGAGCTTTCTTTCTTCAGTAAGTTGAGGTGAAAGAGGGAGGGGGCCAGACACACGGCCAGATTCATGGGCGTCATCTGATTCTCTTCCACCAAGTTCACCACATCGTGGAGGAAGCACAGGAGCGTCTGCAGGGCCTCCCTGTTCTCGTCCGCCAGCAGCAGGATGGCCGCCTGCACGGCCTGCAGCCACTGTTCTTTGGGGACGTCTGAAGAGAAGTGGGCATCATGTTGTCAGAGGGATACAGCAGGGAGAGTCAGCAGGGACAAACGCAGGAGCTCCCCTTCCCCACAGAAAACACTCAGAGACATCAACAGCAGCTAACCTGAGAAGTCCCAGTGAGGGGCAGAGCTGGAACACGAAGCTCATCCGGCAAACTTCAGAACCCACCTGAGTGTCCCAGAGCTACCTGGAGCCGAGCCACCACACTGGCTTCTCACACTCTGAGCACCAGGCTCTTCTATCTAAAGATGGTCTTTTTTAGTGGAAATCGGTGATGGAATGGAGCTCTGTTAACCTGGCTTCTCTCTTGCTCACCTTCTCTGCCAGGCAGCTCCAGGGACAGCCACAGCTGGGTGGGACACCCTTGTGAATGCCACTGGGTAAAAGGACAAGGACCTACCCTTCCCCACCACAGTAGAGCCGCAGGCCATGCTGCTGGCGTGGTACAATAAACATGAGCAATGAATGGGTGAGCTGTTTGCCCTTCACCAACCCTAGGGAGCCAGTGCCTCAGTGGTGAGCATGGTAGAGCCTTCCTGTCCCTACAAGTCACCAGGGCTCAATTTGGAGAAGGTACTGATTTGACTTTGAGTGGTCACCGAGTGTGAGGGAAAGGCGTCTCAGCTTCCCTCTGAAGGTGACTCTTGTGGAGGTGGTGGGCATTGACTATATCGGCCTAAGAGGCAAATAGCTCAAAAACACAAAGTGAAAAACAGAAAAACCACAACACATTGGGAATGACGGGCTGTATTTTGCTGCCCTTCTGGCTGTGTTTGGTTCATGATCATTAAGGTTTGATTCAAAGACACAGACAGGAGCTCACTGGTGAATATGGCGGTCTTCCTTAAAGAGCCATGCCTGGGAGCGGAGGTCTCCACAGTAGGGTGTTTACACTCCTGAGGTTTGGGGCAGCGTGCTCATGACAATCCCTTGAAATTTCAATTGTGCCGTATAATGTACACACTCTCTCACTGTATATCTCTGTGTCTTTAATGTGCTAAAAAATAAAGAGCACACACTCAGATATCCATTACTGGTAGAGGTGCATGATAGAAAAGAATTGGCAATGGCTGAAATGGGCCCCTCCCACTGATCCAGGGATGAACCTTCTGGGCTCATACCAAAGGTGGTCTCCTGGTTCCTCTTTCCACTGACCGCTTTAGGGTCATTGTAAACCAGTTTAGGCTGACGAGACCAGGGATGATGCTAGGAGCTTCTGTGAGGTCCATGTTGTCTACGAGAAGACACACGTGTCCAAGGAGATGCTTGGCTCTCTCTGGTCGCCTCGGAGTGTGACTTTATGGAGATATGGTAATTCTGTATAAGTTGTGGCAGCTGTACTGAGACTGAAGCATTCCTTACGCATACTTAGTCACAGTCTGACATAGAGTGGCAGAGACAGTGATTGGTCGAGCACCACTGGGCTATAGGTTTACCCAACACTGGCATGGTTTAACTCCATTCTTCTTTTTGCCACGTGTACTAATAAAACGTTCTTATTGTTAAATAACTGTGTATGTGAGATTGGTTCTGCTTCGGCATTATAACTAAGTCTTTCAATACCCGATGGTTCTCCAGTTCTTACCAGATCCAGTATAAAACCCTTGCCCTAGTTTTTAATGCCACTTTCGTGTGACCCTGGCCTCCTAGATTATCAGTGTCTCCTGGTGTACTGTTGTACATTTAGCATTTGTACAGGACAAATCTCCTGCATACTTCTGACACAGGCTCCTATCACTTGCTGCATCCAGAATGTGTCCCCTCATAATGACCCCCAGCTGTCATCGTTTCCAACCAAATTCCTGTTGCTCACCCCAACCTTCGTGGATCTGTCTTTGGGAGCTTTTTTAGTTTTTATTTTTGAATGGCTGCTCTCTAACTGGATTGTGGTGATTTATGATCTGGTCTCATCTCCCTCCAGTCTAAGATCCCTAAGAACAGACAGCGAATGAGGGTCACACGGTCTAAGCTCTGCAGAGCTCAACACAGCCCTGCTCTGTAAATGTTTGCTCAGATAAAATGAAGCCCTGCTTTGATCTGGCTTCTTGGTTGTAGGTCTAGGCAAGAGCCAGAAAGATATTTATCTCTTGGAAATGATTTAGTTTTAGCTGTAGATAGTGTCAACTTCAACCCAAGGACTGATTAAATGTAAATACTATATCCACAAGAAGGCCTAATTGAAAAACAGAAAGTGACCTCCTCCAGAAACATCACCCACCGCAAGCATTTTTGGGGGGCTCCTGTATCATTAATTCAGCTTAACCTATTCACTTTGACAAAGTAATATTTGTTTAGTGTGACATCCCTTTATTCTGTTCTGATAGGTGGTACTTAGAGTCCTCCCTGAATTTGTAATATTATGCACTTCAACACATTTGGTACAGAGTGTCTATAGCAGGGCCTTCAGAGTGGATCAATTCCATCTCGGGACCCACTTGAGGCATATTTTGATGTAAAAATCAAGGTCTGTGGGCCAGAGTCATTTCCGCCTAAGAACTGATACCTGGGCCACGAAGCTCATTGCCAATTTGTTATGATATCATTATCCTACTGAGAGAAGACCTGAATGCTCCTTTCTAACGTTTGCCTGGGTAACTACATTTAGCAGAATGGGCTTTTAAATCAATTGTTCTTCTCATTACTACTTTAGCTATAGTGGCTTTGTGAGGAACTACTGACTTAATGTCACTTGAAATCTTCCAAATGAAACCATAAGTTAGCTGAATTAAAGTATAACCTTGATTTGGTTCGGTTACATATCCCCGGGTAAAATACATCTGCTTCTTGTTTGTTTCCAGTCTTTATAATACATTCGACTCTGCATCGACTATCAAATTTTGTATCAAAGAGAATGTTTACCTCCCCAAAATTAAATTAGGTTTATTACACACACATACTAAACTCTATTGGATCTTTTTTTTGTTTTAAATATATTAGAAATACATTGAAAATTAGCTTGAGATTGTATACAAAGACGTACTGAATAGGCATATATATTGATGTTGGGAAGGTATATTCAGACACGAACAAAGAATGACATGGAGAGGTCCATAGCAAACTGCCGGAAGCCATCCCAGGTGGTGGATAGGTCCGCAGAGGGTGTGAGGAGTTGGTGGGGAAGGAAGTGAGCTAGGCCATGGTGGTCAGGAGAATCTTGTAGCCTGACTGACTAATAGCCAGAATGTTTATTTATACAGAATTTAGTAAGCAGGGATACATTCATGATGTTCCAAAACATAGATCATATCATTTTTTTGGACATGCATTTCACTTCCTTTTGCTCATCTTTTAGTCATCATCAATAAACTATGACAGAACAGAATTATCATTTCCAATCATTTTCCTCAAGTTTTGACATCATTAATAAACAGAATTATCATTCTTACTCATTAACCCCATAGCCCAATTTTTAAGAATCTAGAGGCATGTGACAGCCTGTTCTCAGGCTCATAGCTTTGGTTGCTTCAAGGACACTAGACCAAAACAAAAATCTTCAACCACCCTGGGCATTTTGCCATGTCCCAAGCAGTGTATTATTGACTCTTAGTGGTCAGAGTGTCCAAGAAAAATCCTCAGGCCAAAGCTGCTGCAGTTATTATTCAAATTCTGACATAATACAATCAATGTTCACATTTATGTCTTTATAGAACTTGTCTATATGTCTAATCCTGGCATTTTGTTGTTCCTTGGTCATATGACATTATAGTGGCTCTGCATGAGCTAACTTCTAAGAGAGGGGGGTTCTAACATCTCATACTTTTATCATCTTTCCACTCCATACTTTGCTCATCAATATGTCTCTGTGTAGGGCAGAGGTATATGTCTGAGTGTACAGTGGGAAGAGGCTTCTAATCTGAACTGTGGCCAACTCCTCTAGCCCACCAGATCTTGTTGACCTTTTTGAGTTTGTTTTGAATAGTTTATTCCTGTGAAAGTACAGGGACAGATGTTTCAAGAATGTCTCATAGCCTCATGAAGAGACCTCTGGCTTCTTTATGTGTCACAACCTCCAAGGCGTAAGGAAGACCTTCAAGTAGATAAGGATATCTCCCTCAAAGCAGGAGGGACAGTATGTTCAGGACTGTCCTAGGGAAGCTTAGAAGCAACATTCCTGGGAGAAGGCATAAATGATTCATAAGGAATTTTCCATCAATCCAACATCCCCAAATTGTACAAATATTAAAAGTGCCCCAAGTATGTAACAGGTGGAGATGAAAACCAAAGATGGCATGACGACCATCATGAGGCTCAGCTCTGCTGGATCTTTGTCAACCAGCTATGCTGGCTTTATGACTTCTGCCATTCCATTCAGATATGGCTGTGCCAGCAAACTGAGCAAAGGCTATTTCTGAAGAGGTAGGATTATAACTTTTATATACTTCTTCACAGATCCATGAATTACTTGTATAATTAAAAGTCTTTTGCAGGGCTGGAAATATGGCTCTGCAGCTAAAATGCTGACTGTTTTCACAGAGGAGCTGGGTTCCTTTCCCAGCACCCACATGGTGGCTGACAACCATCTGTAACTCCAGTTCCAGGGTATTCGATGCCCTCTTCTGGTCTCCATGGGCACTGCATGCTTGTGGTACACATACACTCATGCAGACACACGCATACATAATAAATAAGTCTTTAAAATTCTACCCTTTTGACATTGGGCACACTGTGTTATTGCTACTTACACTGATAGATGTGGAGGAAGGTCTCACTAAGCTTGTTGGTGAACAGGGGCTCGGGGAGGTCCCGGAAGAACTGCTTTACCATGTCTGCTACATCATACGCAGACTGGTCTTCGTAGCTCACGTTCTCAGGGAAGTTCTCGTTCATTTGACGCAGAGCATGGATTCGAGACTTCACTCCCGACTTGCGGAAAAGACCCACCTGAAATGAGTCACAGGGATGTGTAAGCCAAGTCTCCTTTTCCCTCACAACTTCCTCCTCAGGGTAGGAATCCTGGATGTGAAGAGGAGGCCTGGGGCCAGGCTGGATGAGCTGGGACTCCACCCTATCTCCCCAATCCTGAATTTCCAGTATAGCTACGTTAGGTAATAGTCAAACACTGACTCCCTCTCCTATCAAATCAAGACATGGATAATATCGCACCCCACAGAGCTGGAGCCCCAATGTCCAAACACATGTGGATGAGCTTTCCGAATTGTAAACTCTTAGAACAGCGGATGGTGTAATTTTACTCATTTTTTTTCAACAAGTATCCGTACAAGGCATTCTTATACTAGAAGTCATCAGTGAGCAGAGAGAAAAACATTCTCTCTCCTTTAACATTTGAACTTCTGTGGGGAAATTTTGAAATAGTTTTTTTTGTTGTTGTTGTTGTTTGTCTTGATGGGAGGTTTGGTCAAAACGATGTGCTCGGAGAATGGGAGCATCTCAGTGACACAGGCATGTCCCTTTGGGGGCGAGTCTCTGAGGGACAGGCTTCTAAAACAAAATATTAGAATTCTGAGTACCTCATTTGATTTTCTTTCTTGAAATACTCAGCACCTGTGATGTGTGTTTCTCACATTATGCCTGAAACTTTACGTGATCAGTTGGGGGTGGGCACGACTCCTTCCTGGGTGACTTTTTGTAGACAGTATCATATGTGGGGAATGCGAAAGAAACGGGTGGTAGGTAAGAAAAAACTCCATTTTAAAAAAAGTATGAAAGACTTGGTAGAAATTCCAGTTCCTCCAGGTTCAGCATTTCATGGAATCAAAATATGTGCTCCAGGTTGTACTTAATGCTCGAAATTGTGTTCTGCTCATCAACTGCGTTGATTTAAATCAGCCGACTGCATGAAAATGTGAGGCTGAGCTCTGCACTCAGAGTGAGGCGGGACCACTGCCGGCTGTGCGTGCACACTTACGTACAGTTGTGTACCCTTCTGCAGAAGTAATTTTTATTTTTGCCTTGGCTAAAGACTATGGATTATGAGGCTGTTTTCTTGAGACCCCAGACCCATTTCTTACACCCCATCGCAGCCTTTCATCTTTAGCACTTAGACCCCTTGCTGCCTGATAAACATAGTGTAATGAGCATAGTAAAAAAAAAAAAATGCCTTTTAGACATGTAAAATCAGCCTAGTCAGGAACCTCACTACACCCAAGGCTGCACCTGATAACTAGAACCCAGTGACATCACTCACTCAAGACAACCAGACAGTCCTAGAACCCATGACAACCACTGGATAGTCTATAAACAGAGACCAAGAGCAATGTTCTGCTCTGCACATCTGGAGAGACACTACCTTGTCTCTGCGCCTGGAGAGTCCCCCCAGGATCTGGACCCGTGAATTAGAGACTTCTGTTAGAGACTGGACCTGACCTTCAGCTAAGATAAGACACACAGAAATACAGGTGAGCGGCCTTGAGGAGATAGGCATAGGACCGTAGTTAGGAATTTAGAGTGTGAACCTAGTATGATGATCCTTAGCATAATAAAATACAATTTCTGTAATACTAACTCTGTGTGTCTACCTTCTTGCTTGCAACAATTAGCAATAAGATACCAAAAATATAAGGACCTTAAGAGGGACAAGTGAGTTGAGCAGAGCCTTTATGGTACAATGAAGATCCTGAGAGGAATCCGGAAGATGAAGTTCAGTCACCTCTAGGAGCCCTCTACCCCGGACTTGCCCTATCCAAATCACAGCCGAGCTTTCCTTGGCTTAGATATTTGAGCACTGAATTCTCAACACCCAGCCTTTCAGTTTCTGCTTGCCGTTCTCCTCACTCCCCAGTGGCATACAGATTAGCTCACTTCTTTGAGAGCAAGGTGGTATGTTCCTGAGTGGCTGGACAGATAATCAGTGGCAGGTGGGATCGGCCATTATTCTAACCTAGATATCTGGAGAAACACATGAATATAGTTGTCACACTAACTCTGGTGTCTCTTGCTTGTTGTTATAAATGAAAGCAACAGTATTATTATCACTACAATACTACAGGAACAATGGGAAATTCCAAGCCATTGTTAGAGAGTTTGTACATGTCAGCTGCATGATCACAGGGGAAATTAAACATTGCTACATTCTCTGGTCATAAGAACAGAATTCTTAGGAATAGCTCTTTGCATTCCAGGGCTTATCACCGAATTCCACAGATCAAGATATTCAGGCAGATTGCTATTTAATGTGCTAGTTGCTTTGTTCCAAGTTTGCAGTGTCTAGAAAATGCCATCTTTAGCTATATTTGGATGATTCTCTGCAATGAAATCTAGAGAACATTTATTTTTCCTGGTCTGGCAAGTATTTCAAATTGCATCACAGTGCACAGGAAGAAAGCATGCATTGTTAGTAACAAAAAGAAGAGACCAAGATAGGTAGCAGGGGCTTATTGACGTGAGATCCATCTTTGATTTCCTCACATCCTTGAGTCTGTAATTTTGGAAGGAGGCTCCGAACTGTGTACATCTCAAAGCTGTACTAACTACACTGGTCTTCACAGGTCGCAGTGCCCTGAGGATGTGTCCTTAAGTGTGACTCACGACTGTTTGTCCTCGCTTAATTTTTTCCCCTCAAGCAGAGCAGCATCGATCAGGGTCTATAAAAGGAGTGCTTGTGTAGCTACTGCCCAGTCCAGCTCTTTGGCCGACTGCGTCCCGTGGCCCCTTGGGATTCTGCACACATGTACGGCCTGGATGCTTCTCTGTATTGTTTGGTTCCCAAGTTTCTTGTTTTGGAAAACACGGTGATTTCAATTATTTCCAATCTGTCCAGGGCTCTCTAGCTGCGGGCTCCGAGGTGCCCCTTCTAACTCCGAGCTAGCAGGCTGTCTGGAGAGTCATAGGGGATTGATTCATTCTGCTTCAGATTCTGACAGAAACCTCCTCCTCTGTCCTCACCTCCCAGGGGATGTGGGAAATATCCCTGGGTTCTGTGGGTTGTGTTGGAAGCCTAGAAGAAAAACTGCTTCCCACTCTTAGTAAAGGCAAAGTGGTTCAGGAAAAAAAAAAGAAAAAGAAAAAGAAAAAACTGGTTTGGATTCTAGGTATAGTAGCTAAGAATGGTCCAAAAAATGCAGTCTTTAAGAAGACACCCGTGAGCTGAGGAATGAAGAAACCTAGGAATTCCTGTTGTCTGACTCTTACCTTTCTAAGTGAATGAGGTGGTGAATTCCCTGATGTCTGAGGACTGACTAGGGTTTCTGTTAGTTGCAGTCAGCAGGACCTAGACAAGGTAAGAAGGCTGTCCTCCTGAAGGTGTGGTAGCTCTGAGCCACGGGGAGGGCACCTCCTATCTGTGAAGGACCTGTGAAGGACAGCTAATTGCCAACAGCTTCCAGTGCAATGATAAAATTGCATTTTGGACCTAAGCTGCTGTGTTCTAAGTTCTAAGTAAAGAACAGAAAGTGGTTTTGTTGTTGTTGTTGTTGTTTTAAGAACACTCTCCTCATCCCTGCCTTATGAGAGAGATCCAGGGAGGGTGACATGTCTCCCGGTTACTGCTATGTCTGTCACAAGTGGGTGGGCAACCTGCACAGCCTGTTGAAGGCTCTGTTGTCAGTTTTGAGATTCTCAAAAGTTTATGAACAAGGAGGGGCCTGGAGAGATGGCTCAGCGGTTAGAGCACTGGCTGTTCTTGCAGAGGCCCTGGGTTCAGTTCCCAGCACCCACACAGAGGCTCTCAACCATCTGTTTCAGGGGAGTTGACTCCCTCTTCTGGCCCGAGTGGACATCGGGATGGTGCACATACACCCACGCAGGCAAAACAGTCATATAATATAAGATACAAATGACTAAATCTTTTAAAAAATAAAGAAAAACAGAACGAGGAATCCTCCATTTTCATTTTGTACTGGGTCCCAGAAATCACACGGCAGGATTGCTCTTCACCCGCCTTCAACACACCTCCAATAGTGTCGTTAGGAGGTAGCTGGTGCTCCGCTGTGAGAAACCCACTGCTCTAGCACCTCTCCTGCCTGTGAGCCCCTCCCTCACTGACAGAAGGACGAATGGCGAGTGTCCCTTTGGGTTTCTTTCATTCATTTTCTCTCTTGTTTTCAGTTCCTAAACCCAGCTACCTAAAAGCCAGGGCTCCAGGAGTAGTTTATACAGAAGGTCCCGGATCATCCTTCATTGGGTCTCAGGTAGTCAGCTGACAACGTGATGAGCAGGCCGCAGGGTAGAGAACACTTCTCCGAAAGTGAAGTGTCTTCCCAGAATTATTAGGCTTTTAAATCTTGTGGCTCCATTAGAAGGAGTGGCTGGGCGTTGAGTGCCGCATTAGAATTCAAATTCATCTAAATAGTCTTAAATCTCCTCCCTGGCATCCTGTTTATGCTAATCCTTGCAGGGCTTAATGATGTTTATCAGGACTTCCATTTCCTCTTCTTTAGAAATGGGCTCAGCTAATGAAGAAAGGTTGGCTTTATTCAGAAAGAGAGTCGTAAGTAGAGTGTGTGATGGGCAGCGATGCGATGTAGGAGCCAGGGCTAACCTGTGTTGCAGCTGATGGGTGATTTAGGATGGCTGCGTGCAAAAGCTCACACAACAGAGCAAGGCTAGTCTCACAGGCTACCGTGTGTGAACACAAATGGCTGGCAGTCGAAGGCTGACCCTCTTCGTTTCATCTGCAGCCATCAAAAGGGTGAAAAGGGACGCACTGCACTTCCTCATTCATAAACTGCACTGCACAGGGATGAGAGAAGCAAAGGGCTGGCAGGGTGTTGGGGTTCTGCGCTTTGACAGCCCTCCGAGGAGGGCTGATATTCCAGGTAAATGTTTAGCCTTCGGGCAGGGACCCCACCCGTTGCGGGTGACCTCCCACTCTGTGCCCAAGGCCAGAGCCTCAAGGCAGTCTCAGAAGATGGTTCCCATAGAATGTGGCTTACAGGAAAGATGTCTGAGGGCATTCTGGTCTTCCACAATCCTGGGTGGAGAGTGCAAGGTCTTGGGCAGAAACGAATCTTTTCAGTCCATTTCTTTACCAGTGGCAAAGAAAGAATATCCGCTTCTTTTCCCCTCCCTCCCAGCCCTACCTCCTGCTCTTCGGGTTCATTAGCTTCCATGTGCACTAGATCTCCAGGGCAGCCTCCCCGCTCTGCCCCATTTGTTAGCATTTTGGCATCTACACTGGCCTGCCCTCGGGGACCTAGCAGGCCTCAGCAGCGGCAGGCAAGACGTGGTACTGTAGCTGCCCAGCCAAGTACAGCACTCTCCCTAGGCACATGCGCCACACCCCCTTATAAAAGGCAGGCCCTTCTGGCCCTCTCTCTCTTTCCCTCTCTCCCTCAGAGGGCGCCTCTGCACCTCCCCCAGTAAACCTCCCACGTGAGCTCTGTTGCATGTGTGGCTTTGTGGTGCCCCTTGGCTCCAGCCCACCAAGGTTGCCTTCCTGCCGCTAAACTTAACATGACTCTCTTGGCTTCTTCCTGCTTCTCTAGCTCTCCTTGTTTCTGCTCTTCTGTCACCTCTCTGCCACATGGAGGAATTGTCTATGTGCTCCCTATGTGTGACAGGCAAAGGGGAGGCCATTCACTGTCTATGTGCTCCCGTCTACGTGCTCCCCTATACGTGACATGTAAAGGGGAGGCCATTCACTGTCTACATGCTCCCTATGTGTTGACATGCTAAGGGAAGGCCATTCACTGTCTACATGCTCCCGTCTACATGCTCCCCTATACGTGACATGCAAAGGGGAGGCCATTCACTGTCTACATGCTCCCTATGTGTGACATGCTAAGCAAAGGCCATTCACAAGGCAGGGCCATTGCAGAGTTAAGGTGGACAGTAGCTCCGTCCCTTCAGACATCTTACAGCTGCTCTCTTGTGACTAACCGAAGGGAAGCTCTTCCTTCCCAGTTGGGCTACATGCTCGTCAGTGTCTATGTCCTTGACAGGGACTTCTTCCAACAAAGCTCTACACACATTTTTTTCCAGCATGGGATTCTTTGAGACTGATACTGGGAGAAGCCAGTAGTAGGGCTGAAGAGGTCTGTACCCCATTTTCCTTTCTTCCTATGACTTTATTTTCTCTCCACAGTTTTGGCTTCAGAAGGGAGATGGGACCAACCATAGGGGTGATTCCAGTGCAGACATCATTAAGAATCCATGGGATGGGGATGGGATGGGGTGTGTTTTCTATCTAGTAGCATTATAATTCATTTATTTATATCCAAACTGGTTCAAGAAAGAACATGACTCATAATGATCTACACAAGGTTCACTGAAAGATATTAGAAAGGAAAATTACAACAAAGGGAAAATAAAAATTAAAAAGTGTAACTGGAGCTGGGAATGAGGTTGCAAGGAATTTGTACCCGGAAGAGGTACCAACATTTACGACAGGCAGAATATGCATTTGGCTCTGAGCTTTCCAGCAGGCAGTACAGAGAGGAAAACACACCCAGTTAGATGGATTTGGAGTTTACAATACAAAACACAGGCCAGTGGGCCAAAAGAAACACATGGTTCTCAAGTACCGAAGCCAGGGGCCAGGGGGTTCTTCCTTTAATTCTCACCGAACGGGCACTACATGACATAATGGCCAACGCCGTCAACAAAGTCTTGACAGTGGATTTATCAATGAGGGTTGTAGTTGCGGGGGCAGCGTCACAGCCAAGCCCAATGGGAAAAAGCCCCTTCCTGCCCAGTGAGCCAAAGGGTAAATCAACAAAACCCAACAGAGAAGGCTGCTGTGGGGTTTCCTGCACCGCTAATGCGTGTGTTGAACGAAGGCTGCTCCAGAACGCTGGAAGCACGTTGCCCAAAGGGGGGCAGTCTGGGAAGCCTGAGTGTGGCTTGTATTTGGGGCAGAGTATGAAAGAGAGAATGGATGGTAATTTGGAGGAGCTTTTTTTCTTTCTTTCTTTTTTTTTTTTTTCGAGACAGGGTTTCTCTGTGTAGCTTTGCACCTTTCCTGGAACTCACTTGGTAGCCCAGGCTGGCCTCGAACTCACAGAGATCCACCGGCCTCTGCCTCCCGAGTGCTGGGATTAAAGGCATGCGCCACCACCGCCCGGCTTGGAGGAGCTTTATAAATTATGGGATGGATCTCATTCTGTGCTTGGTCAGAGCCCACCATTATGATGGTCCTCAAACTGTCCTGGAGGCAGAAACCAATCTGATCTGAGTATTTCCTTCCCGTGCCCTTTGCCATCAGCTCTCCGGCAAGGGGCTGTTTGACTCAGCTGATATGGCGTTCTCATTTTACTTGTGAATTGTGAAAAAAGTGTAAACAAATCTGTTCTGCTCACTGTGCTGCTCTGAGAAGATAATAAAGGGAGACACAAAACTAAATTCTTTTTCTTTTCTTTTTCTTCTTCTTCCAGAAACCATCTAACAGTGTTAAAAAGAATGCTGTGGAGTGAATAACAGCACTGGGATAGTAATTTAAAATGTAGTAGAGTCTACACCTGCTTCCCAGTTTCAAGGGAGTGTAAATCAGACATTATAGACACAAGTTATTAACACCGACTCCCTTTGATCACACAGGCTGTCATTCAAGTAGCCAAGGAGGGAACACTGTCCAAAGCTAGACCGGGGTTAAGCCTGGCCATATCAAACCACAGTTTACTCTTGGTGAGGTATGCCTTGTACTGGATAGGCCGGACTCAGGCTGCCATCCCCTCCCCGCAAGCCCATGTTTGGGATTTACCACTCTACCTGATCCAGACAGCTGCTACGCAGATACCTCAGTGCTTGTTGAATGCTCTGAGGCAGAGGCTGTCCCGTTCTCTGGACGTGGACTATGAGAGGGACACCGAAGACAGCCTTGTCCTTGTAGTCAGGAACCTTCGTCCTCTTCATGAACTTTGGAACGGACCTGGAATTCACAGAAACCAGGTCATGCAAGGCCCCGGGGGCGCACCGTGCGGAGAGGCTGTGGAAGCAAGCGAGAGGGAGGCCAGGCTCCGGTTGGAATACCTCAGAGGCAAAGGCAGAATGCAACCTTCTCTACATCAATCACAGCCTACGTTGCTCTCCGTGCGGGCCTTGCCCGTGTGTCATTTCTGTTAAACAGATTCTGTGATTCACATTAGCAAATTGTCTCTGTAGCTCTGTTTCCTAGTCGGGAGTGGTGGGCAGTGTTCCAGTTTGATTGTGACTGAAAGAGCTCCCATGTGGCAAACACTTAAAACTCCCCAGCGGAACAAAACAGAATGTATGTGAAACTTACAAGAGGAAGAATAAATCTGGTTGGGGTTGAAGAAACTGAAGAGAGAAAAAGATGACCCATAGTTTCTTGACTATGTCTTTGGCTTTCTAGAGCCAGCTCTACGTTTTGAAGGGAATTTTAACACACATGCATATATTGATTTGGTCACACAATTTACAAGCTTTGAAAACATCTTTATAAACACAACATTGATTCTTCTATACATACTGTACGACATAATGCTTTCTGTTTTTCACATTCACTCACCATTCATCCACAGTAAGTCTGCATACACTATTGATTTTTATCAGCTCCTTAATTCCAAAGGTATAGCGCAAAATCTCATTTTTGCTTGCCAATGAAAGCAGAAATGTACTTGAAGAATGAGTGAATCAATGCTGTAAGGGGGTGGGTTCTGCACCCGACCACAAGGTACCAAAGACAGATGTTTCTCCACAAACTGCCAGCAATATTTTGTGGCAGGTTTATTTCTAATTCCTCTGCTCACAATTTATCACTCTTTGCTGGCCTTGCTTCTTTCTCAGAACCTGACTCCCTTCCCTGGAAACCGACCGAGATCTACAAATAAAGCAATGTCTCGTGTGCTTCGTCGGGCCTCGCCCGGCTGCCCACAGGGCAGGCGACAAGCAGAATGCTCTGTGGTTTCCAGGAGAGGGAAATGTAGACAGCGCTAGGTTCTCCAGACACCAGCTTATAAACGCTGGAGGCTTTTCTGTAACTGCACACTTAGCTCTGAACGTGTGATGCCCTGTGAACGTGCTACGTACCAGGTCCAGCCGTGCTTGCTGGACATGGAGTACTTCTCCATGATGGCTGTGAGGCGAAGCAGTGAGAAGCGCTGGAGCAGGTTCAGCTGGGCCGCTGTCTGGCTGCTGATATGCGGGGTGGCTGGAGATGGCTGAGGCTGATGTGAGAGCTGGAAGCTGCTCCATCGTAGTCGCCTGGAACAGAGATGATCGGAGCTGCCAGTCACCCAGTGCTAACTGGGAAGCTCAAGCTAGCTAGCCCTTCGGTGCTGATGGCTACCCAGGAGTTCCTGAGCCAAGAACATCACAGCGCAAAAGGAACAAAGACAGAGCTGTGGATTCGACAAGTTGTATAAACCCAGAATAGGGCATACTGATTATTTCATGGTGGGATTTAAGTAAGTGATATCATCCTTTTTTTTTTTTTTTTTTCAAACTTTGTTAGTTTGTTCTCAAATCCAATTCCAAAGTTCAGGGCAGCTAAGTCAGGTGCACGTATGTGTGCAGCTGTATGTGTGAGACAGAAAGAGACAGAAAAAGTAAAGATGAAAGAGAGACAGATGGAGACAGAGATAGGAGAGAGTCATAAAACAGAGGGCAGAGAGAGAGAGAGAGAGAGAGAGAGAGAGAGAGAGAGAGAGAGAGAGAGAGAGAGAGAGAGAGAATATGTTGCCGGGGAGATTCTCAAACACTGAGGTGGTACAGCATTTCCTACTTTTATGCCTGCCTCCTCCTCACTGTCCCTTGTGGCTGAGATGGCATCTGCAGGTGACAGGCACAGATGACATACGCTGAGTCCGACATTACGTCTCTGCCTCATCGGGAACCCTGGTGGCACACACACAGTGCTATGGGACAGGAGCTGGACCCCCTCAGTTCATTTCCTAGGGCGCTTCTGCACATCAGCTTTGTGTGCTATGTGAGCAGGAACTTGAGCAGCAAAGATCAGGCACCAAGCACAAATATGCTTTAGATCTCACAGAATTAAACATAAAACTGTGCACAGGGGCTGGGCCCCAGCTGTCTTGATTCCCCACCTACAGCGCTTGTTTAGATTTTTCTGGAACAAGATTAAGTTTGAAACAAAGGATAAACAAAGAAATGAATATGTACTGACATGGATTCAGTCTCTCTGTCTGTAGAAACAGCAACTCCGTTGAAATAATTCCTAACCCTGTGTGTGTTTAGAACAGCCCCAGGTGATTGCACAGTGTATCCATCTGTGTTAAAGGAATAACCAAAGAGGGGCTAGGGAGGTGGGTCAGCAGCTAAAAGCACTCGCTGCTCCTGCAGAGGACCTGGCTTCGGTTCCCAGCACCTACATGGCAGCTCACAACCATCTGCAACTCTAGTTCCAGGGGATCTGATGTCCTCTTCTGATCCCCCAGGGTACTGCACACACAGGCATACATGCAGGTAAACACACACAAAGTAATAAAAAAACAAAACAAAACAAAAAACCCCACAGCCACCACAAAACAGAAGAATCATAACTTCATAACAGCATGTGACCCACCTGTTTGGCCTGGTCAGAGAGGCCCCCACACCAGAGTCCCTTCTTTCTTTGACCCCGGTGGCCTCTGATTCATTCAGAGAAGTCCCATCCCTTTCCACATCACTGGGTGTTGTCCGACCTTCCGAGACCGAGTTGCCTTCAAAATCTAAAGTGATCTGATTGGGAGATGGAAACGGGGATAAACCAGGCTCCCCTGCCAACACATCGTGACTTTGCAGTTCAGGTAAGACATTTTTTGACCAGTCATCCACCACCTCTTGGATGCCGTTGACATGCTGCAAAATGTCATCCAGCTGTGGGAGGAGGCCATCTTTCTCCAAGTCCAACAGATCTCCTGTGCTGGCATACAGATGCGAGCCGGGGACATTGTCGTAGATACTGACTCGGCTGGCTCTGTGGCAGGATGCCATGAGCCTGGGTTCCCTCATGCCCGGGCCCTGTTGTCTGCCCAGGGAGATGCCCCCGGTCCTCCAGTTAACCCCATTGCTGTTGTCTGTGGGTGAGAGGCTTTCTATAGAAAGAGCCTTGGGGAACGTTCCTGGTTTGTGATCTTTGGGAATATGCACCACCATGTTCTCTTGGGAATGAAACCCATGCGTGTGGTTTTGGTCCCCTGTATCTGGTAGCGCTGTCCCTGCCAGCACGTCCAGGTCCTCCAGGTACATGCCCCCACGCTTGTTGGCCTCATGGTGGCACTTGCGCTCCTTCATACACGGAGTGCTCACTTGGCTGCTGTTCTCCAAGGGGCTGCTCTCACCACTTGACTTACTGGCGCATGGATGCCCTTTCCTGCAGGCAGCTGGAGGCGAGGTCTGCACATCTCCATTGGGTATCTGGATGGACTGCATGGCCTTGAAGGACTCTGGCTCCTGCTGCAGCACAGGCCCACTGATGACCAGGCCACCTGTCCGCCCTGACCCCTTATGCCTCCCGTGGGCTCCCTTAGCTCGCAGGGTATCCATGCGTTTCAAAAACGACTTGGCCCTGGTTCTGACGGGTTTCTCATTTTTGGGATGAAAAGGGTAGCTGAGACTGTCTCGGGGAGACTGTGGGGGGCCGCCGCTAACCGGGGTGCCCTCCGGCACCAGCGTGCTGTCGGCACAGTGATGCCCCGACTGGCTGCGGCTGTCGCTGCCCCCGCTGCTCTCGCTGTGAATGGAGCAGACCTCTGGCTCACTCAGATCCGTGAGCACACTCTCGCTGCTGGTGGTGTTTCTCATCCTAGGGCCTCCTGGGGACCCGTTTCTTTCTGCCCCGGGGAACAGGGTGTGCAGGTCATCCACACGGGACCACCTGCGGCTGGTTCTCTGGAAAGTCCATTTGTTGCTGATGCACAAATCTTCCTCATCTGAGTCGTCACTCTGCAAAACACAGGGAAAATGCTCATGCCCACAGATCCCGGCTGCATGGTGCTCCCATCTTGCTCCCTCTGTCTTCCCGTATATGTAGGTGTAGCACGAATCTTAAAGGGTCTTATTAATAAAAACAAACCTGGAGCCAGGTATTGGAGTGAATGCTGGAGGATCAGAGAAGCGGAACAAGCCACAGCTAACCTCACCTTGCCAATTCCTCAGCTGATCCTGTTTCCTCAGACTGGAAGCCTCTGAGTCCTCATCCAGAATGAATCTCAGCTGAACTGTTGCTCAAAAGCCTAAAAGCTTAACCAGCTCTAGTTCCTGGTTTTCACACCTTATATACCTTTCTGCCCTCACTTCCTGGGATTAAAGGCATTGAGTCACCATGCCTGGCTGTTTCCAGTGTGGCCTTGAACTCACAGAAATCCGGATGGATCTCTGCCTCCAGAAGGCTAGGATTAAAAGTGTGTGTGCGACCATTTTCTGGCCTCTATGTCTGTCTAGTGGCTGTTCTGTCCTCTGACCCCAGATAAGTTTATTAGGATGCACAATATATTGGGGAACACAATATATCACCACATGTAGGTATATGAATTATATGTGTGAAACATACGAAACTTTATATAAAGATATATAATTTTATTTTCCAATCCTTTCTTTGTTTCCAGGGAGTTTTTCCTTGCTGGTTACTGAGTACGCAGGCACCATCTGCCTAGACAGTGGAGCCACCCCCAGTATCCTTTCCAAAGCAAGTCGGTCCCACCAACTCGGGACACTCCTTTCCTCTCCACTGAGTTCAAGGACCACTATCTACAGCTCTCCTTCTCCAAACCTCAGCCTCATCACCCCTGAAGGTCACATTCCCCACCTTAGTCTCTAAAATCCTCGGTTCTTGTCATAAGCCTTCAGTGAAATCAGAGGCTGAACTCTGAAAAGTAGTCAAGTCGGCACCAATCTCAAGCTCGCCCTTGAAGAGAGTCCAGCCCAGCTGCTCTGGCGACCAGGCTCCTTGTGTTTAATGAACTTGAATCACAGCGCCTTAGGCTGCACACACCTTCCAGTTGCTGTGGTTGCAAAGTTTTGCATTCTGCATGTCACACACTGACCTATCTGTTCCTTGATGGAACTTGTAGCCTGTGACACACAGAAGTCTGCATTCCCTGAGGCTGACAGTGTCCCTGTTTTTGTGTACCCCTTGGGCCCAGAAATTCTTTACTTCCCCAAATGAAGGGAAACGTTGGCTCCCACCCCCTCCTTACCATGGTCATCACTGAGACCCAACTTGGAACTGTTTTTCAAATCAATTCCCAGGTCTGTGTCTTCGCTCCCATTTTCTTAGTCTGGGCCCTCATCATCTCCCTTTGGATGCATTACAGGAAAAAACTGGCTAGAATCCTGATCTCTAGAGTGCCCCCCATCTCACCAGCTTCTCCTAGTGTGATCCATTTTCTCAGCTGAGAAGCCTCCAGTCTGAGAGCCTGCCCTCTCGATCGATAGGATCAGGGTCTGAGTTCATCCATTTGCTTGTCCTTAGATCCTCCCCAGCATCACACCCATAAGAACTGTTTAATTCTTGTTGTTCAGTGAACTTACCTTTCTTTGGCATCTGGCTAAAAGCCCTGGCTCTGAGTGACAGAGGTACCACCAGCCCCTCACCTCCTCTGCAGTAACTTTCCATTACCTCTAAAGTCAGGCTAAAAATAGACCCCGACTCATAGGTTGTCCTCAGGGAATTAAACAAGGCTGTGCAGTCAGCAGTGGTGTTTGTTCTTTTCGACGTCTGTCCCACTGTTTGTCTGTCTTTTCACTCGTCTAACATCCACCTTAGCTCCCCTAACCTCCCAATATATTGTTTTCAAGGCAAAACACAGGTTCCCAGGCAATGACCACTGGACTCCTCTCACGGAAGGCTTACGCCATGCAAAGCCAGGCTCTGAGTCGGACGCCATCGGAATACTCAAGCATGGTAAGGTGGAGAACACTACGAAGTCAACGGCACCTCCAAGCATTGCATGGTGGTTCCACCACAGCGGGAAGATTTAGCTTTGATTTTTTTAAAAAATAAATTTGTGTACCATCTTGGTGAAGTAAATTGAAAACTTAGAACTATGCACACGAAACTAGGATAATTCAAAATAGGCCTTCCGATGCTGTCTCGTTCTTCTCATGATGGGTATCACGGGAGAAAACAAAAGAGCAACAAGCAGACCTCAGAGCTGCTGAAGCAGAAGGCGCCATGAACTTACTGCACTTCCCAGCACAGCTTGGGAGCTTGTGAGAAGGTGAGCCACTACCTTTAAAGAAAATACAGATATTTAAAAATAGAAACCATAATGTCTAATGTTGGCTCCAACTACTCTCTCGACCCCATTACTAACACTAGAAAACCACATGCAAGCTGGATAAAGTCTCCTTTGTTTAGGTTAAGAAAGGATGCCAAGCCAGGCTCCGAGGACTGGAGCCAGAGAGCTGGTCCCTTCTGTGGGGCTCGAATTGCTTGCTACCCCAGCCTTAGCCCACAGGAAAATAGTCACAGCCCAACCAAGGCATCTGACAAAATGGCAGACTCCCTGAGAAAGAGGAACAGGAGGAGGATATTCTGTGGTAATTAAGTTCTTTGAACCAAAACAAGCAAACGGAGCCAAAGGGGAAAAAGCGAAGCCAAGCAAAATGAAAACTGCGCCCTTTACTCTTTAGCACCCAGGGCGGAAAGCCATCATGAGCAACCCCACACTGCATTTTTTAAACTGCTGATGGTGACTCGGGGTGAGGACAGAGAAGACGCAACCACACTACACCAACACACAAAACATCACGCTGTAACATCCTCGTCTGTTCCTGCTTGTCTAGATCGGGCATCCCTAATCCGAATAATTCAATTCTAACATGCTCCAAAATCCAAACATTTTCAAGCACCAGCATGATGCTTGTGTAGTGGGTTGTAGTTAAAAAAAAATGCAAACACACTAAAACTGTACACAATTACCTTAAGGACATAGGCAGAAGATGTTCAGAAAATACCAATTAACTTCATGCTTAGATTTTGTTTTCATCCCCATATAATACAGATATTACATATATTATATAATATACATGTATTACACAATATATAAAACATGCATTATGCATATGCAAATATCAAGGTTCCAGAAATATCTAAATATGAATCACTGCCAGTCCAATCATTTTGGATAAAGAATATTCAACCTGTAGTCTGGTTTAGTCTGTTCATTTCTAAACAATGTTGCGCTTGAATTCACAAATTTATTTAACAGTGTGCCACAAAGCCTGACCTAAAAATGTGTAAAAAAAAAAAAAAACCCAACCCATTGTTCCAAAGTTTAAGTTTCCTTCATAAGCTTGGGATGAAATAAAGTATCAGGTACAGGGCAGACTTCTTAGTAGGACTCGTGGTATACTGATTGTTTAAGAGATGATCAGATTTCATTGGTTGGTCCTTTCCTTTTGGACTAGAAACAAATAGTCTGTGTTTCTATAGAATTGTGAAATGGAGATCTAGGGAGTTGAACATGTTTATAGAGAAAATACACCTCAAACTGACTCTATTTCTCCGGTCACAATGGTTTAGCACGCTACACAAACACTATAGACCCACCACATCAGAAATTCAGCAAGTCTGTTAGGATGCCATTGTGAAGGAGGTGGCTAACTGTGCTGGATGCTGAGAGGGTTTTGTTACTAAAGAAGCAGCTGAGGGAGGGATCTCTGAAGGCGTGCCCCGAGGTCACACCCGCTTTAAGCATAGTGTTAAAAACAGGGAGAATTCATGCTTTTAAAACACAAAGATGGCATAAGGTCCAATCTTAAGCTGGGTACCCTCTTTAGGAATAGGTTTTCTCCATCACAATATGAAAGACGACGTGTGTGTGTGTGTGTGTGTGTGTGTGTGTGTGTGACATCAAGAAAAAGAAAATTTTAAAAAATAATAAAATAAACATTAAAAAAGAGAAAACTTTGTTTTATGCACAAAATTACTGAATATATTGCATAAAATCAGTTGTAAATTCTGAATAACACTATATGTGAAAACAAATGAATTTCATGTAAGACGGGCCTATCTCCAATATACCTTTTTGTATGCATAAATATTCAAAAATCTGAAAAGAAATCAAATCTAAACAACTTTCTTCTGTAGCACTTTGGGTAAGGAGTAAGGAGCATGGGACTGAAGGATGTTCTGAGAAGAAGCTGAAATTGCATGGTGTAAAATGTAGTTACTCTATCCTTTTAAAAATGATTTATTTATTTTTACTTTTTGTGTATGAGTGTTTTGTCTGCACATATGAATGTGCACTGCATATGTGTCTGGTGCCAGTGGAGGCCAGAAGAGGACCTCAGGTCCTGAGTGCATCTGCCGTAACCTACAGAGTATCATAGGGGACCCACTGTTTCACACAGAGATGGCATGAATCTGTAGCCTCCTAACTGTAGGATGTGGCTAATGGCGAAGGATGAGCTTTGAAAATACAGTACTGCTTAACTTCATTTTGAATGGTAGCTATTTGAAGGGATAGCTTAAGCTTTGAAATGATGCTCAAACCTCATTCTGCTGTTCAGCATAGGACCAATTTCTTTAGGATGGCTGGTATTAGAACAACGCAAGAAAGATTTTAGATGTCTGTGTTCCTTTTGAGTACTGTGGCCAATTAGCTTAATTAGATTGTAAACATAGAGCTTAGATATATTAAACACCTTATATATCAGTTTTGTTCACAGTGTACACATGCCATTTAACATGGGGGAGCTAGATTCCTGCTATTAATATAGATGGAGAACAAGAAGTTACCAGTATAATAATACATATTTGCCAGGCACACTTTTGGTGAAATATGTACAGTTTTCTTGCTTTCTCCTATTTTCCATTCTATATTTTCTAATACCCATTCTACTTTTTTTTTAAATTAGAAGGCAATTTTGTGCTGGTCCTATCTAATATTAAAAAGATTTATTCTCATACTTTCTATTTATTTCTTTCTATTTCTATT